CTCTCTCTCTCTCTCTCTCTCTCTCTTTCTCCCTCCTCTCTCGCCCAGACTGGAGTGCAGTGGCGACATCTCAGCTCACTTCAAGCTCCACCTCCCGGGTTCACACCATTCTACTACTTCAGCCTCCCAAGTAGCTGGGACCACAGGCACTTGCCACCACTCCCGGCTAATTTTTTTCTATTTTTAGTAGAGTTGGGGTTTCACTGTGTTAGCCAGGATGGCTTCGATTTCCTGACCTCGTTATCCACCCGCCTCGGCCTCCCAAAGTGCTGGGATTACATAACAGACCGTGAGGCTGGGGCGCAGTGGCTCACACTTGTAATCCCAAGTTACAAGTATGGGAGGCTGAGTAGGAAGGATCACTTGATGCCAGGAGTTCGAGCCCAGCCTGGGTAACATAGCGAGACCCTCATCTCTAGAAAATATAAAAATATTAGCCAGGCATGGTGGTGCATGGCTATAATTGCAGCACTTTGGGGGGCTGAGGTGGGAGGGATGCTTGACCCTAGGAGTTGGAAGATGCAGTGACTTATTATTGCTTCCCTGCACCACAGTCTGGGTGACAGAGAATGACTATCTTAAAAAAAAAAAAAAAAAAGAACTGGTGGTACAGTTGCCCACCCCACCTCATATCACAGGAGTTTATTTGCTTGGCCCCCACGTTCTCTCCAAGGTACCCCTTTGGCCTGACCAGAGTATGTAGGGTATTTTTTTTTCCTTTTTTTTTTTAGAGGAGTCTCACTCTGTCGCCCAGGATGGAGTTCAGTGGGATCTTGGCTCACTGCAACCTCTGCCTCCTGGGTTCAAGCGATCCTCACACCTCAGCCTCCCGAGTAGCAGGGACTATAGGCATGCACCTGACTAATTTTTGTATTTCACTATGTTGGTCAGGCTGGTCTCGAACTCCTGACCACAGGTGATCCTCCCGCTTTGGCCTCCCAAAATGCTGGAATCACAGGCGTAAGCCACTGTGCCTGGCCTGGGGTGTCTTTATCCTAGACTTCCCCACTTTCTTTCTTTCTTTTTTTTTTTTTGAGACAGAGTCTCACTTTGTCGCCAGGCTAGAGTGCAGTGGTGCAATCTCCGTTCACTTCAACTTCTGCCTCCCTGGTTCAAGCAATTCTCCTGCTTCAGCCTCCTGAGTAGCTGGGATTACAGGCACGTGCCACCATGCCCAGCTAATTTTTGTATTTTTAGTAGAGACGGGGTTTCACCATGTTGGCCAGGATAGTCTCGATCTCCTGACCTCGTGATCCGCCCACCTCGGCTTCCCAAAGTGCTGGGATTACAGGCGTGAGCCACCGCGCCCGGCCGACTTCCCCACTTTCTTGTATCCTTGTTGCCTATCCACAGGGATCTCCTTGGCTCTGGCCTCTGCTTAGTCCTGCCACTTCTAATACCTGATGTGTTCCTCTCTGGAGGTATCGTGACTTAGCAGAAAGAGCACAGCCTTTAGAGCAAGGCCCACTAGGTTTGAAACCTAGCTCCCCGTTTACCAGCTGTGTGACCCTGGGAAAGTCACTTAACCTCTCTGAGCTTCCAGTGCTCATCTGTAAAATTGGGAACAAGAGTACATAGGGGCTGGGCACGGTGGCTCACGCCTGTAATCCTAGCACTTTGGGAGGTTGAGGTGGGCAGATCACCTGAGGTCAGGAGTTTCAGACCAGCCTGGCCAACATGACGAAACCCCGTCTTTACTAAAAATACAAAAATTAACTGGGTGTGGTGGCAGGCGCCTATAATCCCAGCTACTTGGGGGGCTGAGGCTGGAGAATTGCCTGAATGTGGGAGGCAGAGGTTGCAGTGAGCTGAGATCACAGCATGGCACTCCAGCCTGA